TCGGCTCCACCGTCAACACTCTTGGCACCAGCAGCCAGGAAATCAAAAAACGTATTGCGATGGGAAAGTCTGCTGTTAGGGACCTCTCCAAAGTACTCAAGAGCAACGGTGTCTCTCTAGAGCCTAAGGTCCACCTGATACAGGCCATAGTCTTCCAATCATTTGTTATGCATCAGAGAGTTGGACAATGACTAGAGAGGACAGAAGGAGAATTGATGACTTTGAGCTGTGGTGCTGGAGAAGAGTATTGAATGTACCATGGACTGCCAAGAAAAGATTCATTCTGGAGAGGATTAAACCAAGCAACTCCTTGGAGGCAAGGATTCTGGGGCTTCATCTGACGTACTTTGGGCATGTTGCAAGGAGAGACAGGTCCTTGGAGAGGGACATCATGCTTGGGTGGGTGGAGGGACGGCGCAAGAGGGGAAGACCCTCCATGAGATAGATTGATTCAGTGACTGGGGTAATCGGGATGGGTGTGTCGGGGGCAGTGCGATGGGCACAGGATAGAGCAGGGTTTAGGGATGTTGTACATAGGGTCGCTATGAGTCGCAAATGACTCGACGGCACATAACAACAACTATAATTTTATACCTGACATAATGACGCCCACAAAGCTAACCAAAAGATTCCACTGCCTCTGCTCTATAAGCAGGAGCTTCTGGACTTAGCGAGCACCTACTTGGCATGAGGGGGAAGCCGGAAGCCACCCGCCCTTACTCTTTGCCTTCTCTTCTTTCCCCTCTCTGCTGAGCCTGGCGCAGGAGCCCTGCCACCGCCCATACTTGTGCCTGTGCACGCCCGTTGACTGGGGACGACCCCTGGCTGATGCACTGGCACCCAACAGGCTCTTTGGTATCTGGGCTACTGCCAGGCCACAAACACGAGACCACAAGAGATGCCAGTGGTGGATACTCCACTTGGACACCTATGTAGGCACAGACGCAGGCGCAACCCCGAGAATGTGCACATGCACCTAGTCCAGATTAGTAGGCCAGCCTCTCACCCTGCTTGCGGCAACCCGTGGCCCACCCCCTTCAAAGAAGCTGGTGGTCGATACTCCTCAAGGACACTGCAGCTTAGTTAGCACCCCATGCGTTCACTCTGAGATGCTTTACACCGGACCCTGGCCCCCAGCCCCGGAAGCAGCTACCATACCGCTTCTGTTTCCACTGTCTGCTCAGCAGCGCAGACCTTGACAACTTCCTCCTGGTTCAAGGCCCCGGAAGCCTCCCCACAGCCGCCATGCGGCCCCTGTTCTCGCTCTGGTAGGCACTCAACGTGCCACCAGAGTCTGAGCATTTCCCAGCAGCGTAAAAAGGATACTTACACTTACAAGAGCTACCTACTACTCATCCTGTTTCTTTAACCCCAGGGAAATGGAAGAATAGGGCACTGGCCACCACCTGGCCAGTCCCACGAGAGCTACTCGCGCTGCCCTATGAGAGGCCAGCTGTAGCTGGTCCCACGAGGCGCTACCTCGTGCTTTCTCTCGCCCAATCTCCCCCAACTGAGTCTCAGGATGTCTCCCGGAGCCCCAGCGGCCATGGCTCCTGGCGCATCCGCCTTACCGTGTCTTGCCACTCTTTACCAGGTTGTCCTAGAACCAGAATTAAACAGGATAATATAGACAGAAAACGAGAGAGAGAGAGAAAAGGCCGGGAGTCTCAGGGGCCCTGGGGGATCCCGGTTGAGCCAGATCTTGCTGAGGCCTCCAAGTCTTGTGCCACAGTCGCGAGTCCCCCAAAGGACACCAGGGAGTCGAAAACGATGCAAGAACACGAGGGATTTTATTATTACAAACTCTAGAGCAGGGACTCTACACACATACCACCTCAGCGTGTCAGAGCCCCCAGCACTTCCAGACAAGGATTTTTATTGGTGCTGGGAGTAGCAAAGACTGAGTGAGGGGCTGTGATTGGCTAATTTGTAAATGAGCGGGCTCATTAGCAAGGACTCGAACATTTGGCATACTCTGATTAGAGTAAGGTTCATACAGGAGGAGTTAGTGTCACTTCTTTGTCCCTGAGGTCCTTTCAGGAAGTGAACTCGAGAAAAACAAGGACAAATGACTTAAGATGTTGGCAAGACCAGAGATACATATAACAAATCTTGACTCTTACATCATATATTCCTGGGGCCTTATATTTTTATGAAATATTAATTGACATATTACAATAAATAGATGCTTCCCTAGACATGCTGACTAGCTTGTGTCAAGACCTTTGAAGGAATTACCTGGCCCCTCAATGAAAAAAAGATCCATATTTATTCCCATTCCATAAATAGGTGACCTGAAATAGTATGGAAATTATGAAACAATAGCACTGATACCACTCGCAAGCAAAATCCTGCTGATGATCATAAAAAAAATAAAAAAAAATTAAAAAAAAACCGATTGGAAGAGTATATTGACAGGGAACTACCAGAAATACAAGCTGAATTAGAAGAGGCCATGGAAATAGACATATTATTGCTAATGTCCTATAGGTCTTGGCTTATGGGAAGCCAAATTTCATACTAAATATTTGTAATAAACCAAATGATACAAGCTGGAATTCACCCTGGAGCATTAAGGCAATTCTTAAATGTTTACAGGTGTAGACAATAAGGCAATCCTTAAGGTTTACAGGATTTTTGTACTGTATTTGCTAACCCCTCCCTCCTGAATCAAACAGAAGGTTTTCAATAGAAAGAGCTTAGCTTCATTTGCATTGAATTCTCTTGGTGATTTGCTCCCTGGCAATTTTCAGTAAAGACAGAGGGAAGCAGAGTTCAGTTTGCCTCACTTGTTCTAGAACTGTTCCCCTCCTGCTTTGCCTGTTTTCTCCTACATTCTTGGTGTTCTGTCTTGTTATTTATACTTATTAATATACTTTATCTATGGTCTGCAACATTGGCTGAAAGCAAAGAATACCAAAGGAATGTCTATCTGTGTTTCATTGACTATACAAAGGCATTTGACTGTACGGATGACAGAATATTGTGATTAATCTTGAGAAGAATGGGAATGGGAATCCCAGAACAAATGTGCTCATGCAAAACCTATACTAGGGAGCGAGCTCCCCCAGTGGGGAGCAGCGGCCACAGGGAACGATGCATCAGAAGCTGCTCAAGAGCGTGCGTGCATTACATCGAGCTGGGCAGCTACCAGTACTGGCCAGTGCTGGTGCTGCGCATAGGTATCTGCCTCTACACCTACGAGCAGATCCCCGTGTCCCTCAAGGACAATCCATAAATCACTGATGGCTAACAGGCCTACCTGCCCTCCAGGCTGTGTATCAAAAGTTTTTTTTTATTTTATCTAATGAGACAGTAAACATCTGGAGGCATTTGCTGGGCTGCTTTCTCTTCTTCACGTTGGGAATATATGACATGACATCTGTGTTACCTTCAGTGAGTGCATCCAGAGAAGATTTTGTAATTTGTTCTATTTGTCTTTTCTGCTTCCAGGTCTGTATGCTTTGCTCTGTAGGCTAGCATCATTTTTCTTGCCATGGGTCGGAGAAAACCTGTCGGAGATAGATGGCATTAGATTATGCAGGAATTTCTATTGGAATCCTGGGATGCGACATCTCGGGAATATTTTACGCATTTTATTGTAATAACTATTGGCGTCGAGTATACTTGATCACAGTGCTTGATATGATCCTGGCAGTGTTTTTCGCTCAGATTCATTCCAATTACCTTACACAACAATGGCAAAGACTTCGCTCTATCATATTTTGTTCTGTTTCGGGATATGGAGTGATCCCTACTCTTCATTGGGTTTGACTCAATGGAGGAATCGGTGCTCCTATTGTACAGGACTTTGCCCCTTGTGTAATTATGATGTATGTGATTGCTCTTCTTTTCTATTCTACATTTCCAAAGTTCCAGAAAGGTACTTTCCAGGACAACTCAACTGCCTCGGATCAAGCCACCAAATATGGCACATCCTTGCAGTAGTGATGTTATATTGGTGGCATCAGTCAACCGTGTATGTCATGCAGTATAGACATAACAAGCCTTGTCCTGACTATGCTTCACATTTGTAAATTCAGGTACGGTCACCTGCTGCATTCAGCTGTGAAGCAATATTTTGACGGGGAGTTGTATAACCCACTATTTCTAGGAGTTCTGTTACATTTTGTTCTTTTTCCTCATTTCATGTATCACTAGTAATACTTTATAGAAACGGAAAAAGTATCCGTGGGGGTTTCACAGGCCCTTAAAAATACTCATTTGCTGCTTATAAAGAAAATGAAAATTAGTTAGAAATCATAATAAACATTTGGATAACAGCTATGAATGTTAAACCTGTGTATAGGTAAGAAATTTATTTAGCACCAGCTTAATTTCCTTAGAAAAGGCTCATCTGTTAGGAAATGGAGCCATGCTGTGAGCCTACTTTAATAAGGAAAAATGTTTTCGAAATGATCAAGTGTTAAGTGCCTAATCAAAGCAAGAGTTCCTATAAGTTGCGATTGAGATTTGCATATATACTAATCTCATGCTTTGTGAGAAACTGGCACTTCAATTTTATTTTTTTGCTCTAAGGTTTCCCCACCCTAGGAAATTTGGACTTTAAACCTTTACTCCTTTTAAAGAGAGAAGTATTGAGAAGAACATATATTTTCCTTTTGTAAGTATCACATTAAAAACTAACTACATGATTCAGTAATAAATTCTCTACTCTAACCACCAAGTTAATCATTCTAGGCTTTTAAAATTATTTTTTCAGGGAGAAAAGTGCAACAATGAATGGCTGGAAACCCTATCTCTCCATAAATTTTCATTAAAATTAATAAAAAAAATTACTTAAAAAAAAACCACCAAACCGAAAACCTATACTAGTCCAGGAAGCGGTCCTCAGAACACAGCAAGGAAACACTGCATGGTTCAAAATCAGGAAAGGTATGCATCAGGGATGTGTACTATCTTCATATCTTTACAAACTTTATGCAGAAAAGATCATTTGGGAGGCTGGACTTTATGAGAAGGAATGTGGCATCAGGGTTGGAAGAAGACCCATCAACAACCTATGTTATGCAGATGACACACCTTGCTTGCTAAAAGTGAGGAGGACCCAAAGCACTTGCTGCAGAAAGTAAAAGATTGTAGTTTTCAATATGGATTTAAGCTCAACATCAATAAAAGAAAGATTCTCACCACAGAGCCAATTGACAATTCTGACAGATAGAGAAGAGTTGAGATTCTTAACAATTTCAATTTATTTGACTCCATACTAAACATTCTTGGTATCATCAGTCAAGAAATTAAAAGGTTAATTGCATTGGGAAAACCCATTGTCAAGGACCTCTCCAGAATACTGAGGAGCAATGATTTCAGACTAGAGACTAAGATGTGCCTGATCCAGGCCATGTTGTTGTTTTTGTTATGTGCCGTCGAGTCGCCTGCGACTCATAGCGACCCTATGTACAAGAGCCCTAAACTCCGCTCCGTCCTGTGCCAATCGTACTGTCTCTGACACTCCCATCCCAATTATCCCAGTCACTGAATCAATCAACCTCATAGAGGGCCTTCCTCTCCTGTGCCGGCCGTCCCTCCACCCTCCCAAGCCATAGTCTTTGCAATTACTTGTTATGCATCAGAGAGCTGGACAATGAATGATTAAGGATGACGATGAAGTGGACAGTGGAGAAGAATTGATGCCTTTGAATTGTGGTGCTGTAGAAAAGTTGTGGGAAGCCAAATGTTAAGCCAAATGCTTAAACAGGAATTGAAGGAGGCATAAATTGTTGTTGTTGTTATGTGCCGTCGAGTCGTTTGCAACTCATAGCGACCCTATGTACAACAGCCCTAAACCGTGCTCTATCCTGTGCCAATCTCACTGCCTCTGACACATCCATCCTGAGTACCCCAGTCACTCAATCAATCCACCTCATAGAGGGTCTTCCCCTCCTGCGCTGTCCCTCCACTCTACCCAGCATGATGTCCCTCTCTAAAGACCTGTCTCTCCTTACAACATGTCCAAAATATGTCAGATGAAGCCCCAGAATCCTTGCCTCCAAGGAGCAGCCTGGTTTAATCCTCTCTACGATGAATCTGTTTGTTTTCTTGGCAGTCCATGGTACATTCAATACTCTTCTCCAGCACCACAGCTCAAAGGCATCAATTCTCCTTCTATCCTCCCTAGTCATTGTCTAACTCTCTGATGCACAACAAGTGATTGCAAAAACCCATGGCCTGTATCAGGCGGACCTTAGTCTCCAGAGAGACACTGTTGCTCTTCAGTATTTTGGAGAGGTCCCTAACTGCAGACTTTCCCATCGCAATACATTTTTTTATTTCCTGGCTACTGGTGCCAAGAGTGTTGACCGTGGAGCAGAGGCATAAATACAAGCTGTAATTCCTCTTGTGACTGATTACAAGGTATGAGCTACTACTTCTTGCCACTAGGCCACCAGAACTCCTTTGCAGAGGGAGTGCTAAAAGCTTGTGCTTCCGGTAGACAGGAAGCTGCCAGGGCCCCCCTGCAGAGGGAGTAAGATTTTGTACTTGTGAACTACTTCCTTCTTGAGATAAGAATAAGGTTGACAATAGAGAAAAACTTACCTTTATTTACAAAAGAATTCTCTTTGTGATTTACTTCCTGGCAATTCTCATTAAACGTTACAGAGATGCTTGGCTCAAGACTGATGCAGTCTTCAAACTGTTTGCTCCCTGCCTTACACGCTCTCTTTTTCTCCATCCTTGGTGTGCCTGTCTCACTTTTTCTTTGTCCTGGGTCAACAATAAAGAGTATTGAATATACTATGCGCTGCCAAGAGAACAAACATGTTTGTCTGTCTTGAAGAAGGTGAAACAAAGTTTCTCGTTGGAGGCAAGGATGTTGAAGCTTTTTCTCACATACTTTGGGCATGTGTCCAGGAGGACCAGTCCTTGGAGAAAGACATCATGCTTGGAAGGGTATAGGGACAGCACAGGAAAGGAAGTCCCAGGATGAGATAGATTGGCACAGTCACTGGGAGTAATGGGGCAGCTGTGTTGGAGTTACTGAGTCAGGCTCAGGACAGGGCACGCTTCGCTAAGAGCCAGAGGCAACTTGATTCCACATAACAACAAGAGTTCTGAAATTAAATTTTAAATTATAAAGTATGAAAATTTGTTTCACTTTGTTTAAAACGATATTTCTATTACCCAGAATTCTTGATTATTGTTTTGGCAAAAGAGGAAAATACTACTAATAGTATGACTCAGAAACTAGATTGAAGGGGAGCTCTGGTAGCCTAGTGGCAAGAAGCTGCACTGCAATCCCAGAGGTACACGGTTCGAATCCACCAGATGCTCTGCTGAGGAAGGAGGGGCAATCACCTCCTGTACCAGTCAGATCTGATTTGACGGTACACACACACACACACAAATAATAATAATAAAAAAAATTAAAAATTTAAAAAAAAAAGAAACTAGATTGAAATGGGGGGAAAATCTTGGAGAGAATTCCTTCTTACTGTCAAGAAGAGGAGTTTCCTATTGTTGACTAATTAGCTATTTTGGAACAAATGCTTTGTTATTTGGAGAAACCAACATTTTTATATTCTGTCCCTTAAACCAAAAGATTTGTTGGGGTATGAAATAAAATTGCTGGCTTCTGGGAAAAGACAATCTGGACTTTTTAGTGTCAATATTAAAAGGATGTCACTGAAGCTAAAATTTCCTTTTTAGGGTATGGAACTGAGAATAACAAAGTTTTTGTTTCATTTCATCAAAATTAAAGCTTACTATAGATAAATATTAAAAAAATAAAATTAGCTTTGTAAAAAATAATAAAGCTTATTTTGTGAAGTGTTAACACACTTACTAAGAAATATCAACTCTTTCTCAACCAGCCAGTGTTTTCTCTTTCTCAAACTTGATAGTATTGATTGATATTTTGGACTGGATAGTTTTTCATTATTTGTTCAAAATGTAGAGAGGTGTTCATAGTCTTTTTATTAAAATGATTTAACAGTATACGTACTACATGCCAGGAACACTCTATCATCCCCAGTTCTTGCTGTTGTTGTTATGTGCCATCAAGTCCAAATCAACTCATAGCTGACCAGAGGACTTTCAAACTGGATTCCAGCCCCATACTGGATTTAGTAAATCTGAATAAAGATTGAAAATTGATGACTAAGGAAATGATAAGGTTGGTAGTAACTGGAGAATCTAGCACAATTTTACAAGGTAGTGAACT